AGATGCTCCCCATACAAATAGGTCCAACACCATGCCGATGTTTACTGAAATTATAGCTAAACCTTACTGCACAGCTAAAGCACAACACCACATACTAAACAACAGCTGAGAAGACAAAATCAAGAACGCCAGGATGAGGAAGTTAGTTATAGTATTTTCCGGCCAAAATATTATTTCTCTCTCTTTTAAGCGAGAAGACCCAGTTAGATAAATTATCTCCCGGATAGACATCGTTAATTAGAGAAACAAGATCCGGCATATTGTAGCTCATCATGCAACACTTATTCTCCATGCCCTTTTCAAATTATTTAGGGCTACAAACACAAGTTTCATCACCCTCAAGAACCACCCAAAGATTTTCAACCTACATTAGATGAATCTCAATGAGCCATCTTGTATGATGTTTACTTATACTGAAGCTCATATTCCCTTACACATCATAATTCTCGGCTATCCATCAACAGCCTCTTCTAGCACCAACCTAACACTCGATTACACAAACCATGATAAGACTTCTGAGAATTGGTATGTTGAGAAAAATAAATCAGTCATAGAAGGATGGAAAACAAGGAACCTTCATTAAAAATGTCTATAAACAAAGCTTCGGAAGGACATGCCCAATTTAAACACCATGAGTTTATTGAAAACATTCAATACCTCACCACTAACTGTTAACTTTAGTGGCTGCAGCCTCCACGTGCACAGTTCAATTCACAGGTTGAAAAGATATTCCTTACAAAAAACGTGTCCAATTAAGATTACTAAGCCATAACACATACCTCACACAGAGCCAACAAACTTACATATTCACTCTTAAAATAGTCAACGTATAGATATGATATTGTGTTCCATTCCATATCTTTGACATTGTTTACAAATTTCCAAGCCATCCATGCAAATCTAGCATGATAGCTCGGCCTTCAGTCTGATCACTCTACAGCCGCTGAAATTGTAACCATATGCCATGATGCATTATTCATTCATTTTCACAATCCAACATACACGACACATTTTCAAACTGGTATATAGATGTGAACCAACTTTCTGATTTTCCCTACCATTGTTATAATGGACAAACAATAACAAGTTTTCTCTGACTGCACAAAAGGCACAAAAAATAGCATACAAATTATGAAGAGAAATCAAAGAGACAAACAGAAGTTTAAAAATGTGCTACAAATTAACAGCAACTGTAACTTTTTCTAGTGAAATAATTCACAAAATGTGCTCCATAATACGCAGTCTAGAACATTCAAGTATAGCTCTGTCAGAAGACATCAGTATTCATAAATTAGTGATATCATTTGTCGGTACACATTATTCAGAATCAATAATACATTATGATTTAACATCACCAGCAATTGAAATTCTGCACTTCCTTTGTAGCTCGAACACATCTCCACCACAACTAAAACCAGTTCACACCAAAGATGTACCATTTTTCTGTGATACATATAAAGAATACTAATTTGCCCATAATACTTCTTGTGAACACCATATCTACAGCATTTGCTCTCGTTGGAGCTTCTCGTTTTTCACCTGACATATTTCTTGTTTCATTTCCTCAAGTCTTCTAGTGATATCCATGGCTAGTCAAAGCTCTTTCTTGCTGACTTCTAACTTTGGCCCCGTCTCCCTTTTCCAAATAGAGACCGAAAGAAGCTTCTATTTTTAGGCGTTGGAAGCCCTTAACCCTTTCTTCTTATTAGTAAGATAGGTTGTCTTGGTTCAGCCACCTCCACATATATGAAAATTTCTAGTGCCGCCATCTTGTGATTGGCATGGTTCACTCATCATATAGGGTCGAAAAATGAATATTTAATAACGCCATCTACTACCACCAGTCAGAAAGAAAATTCTGATTCATTTGCTCATCCATGTGCTAGTTTTTAAAGATTTAAATCAATAGAGGAAAAAACAAGCAATGAACCACAATCTGTATGCAACAAAGCAGACATTATCTCACACGATGCAAGATCTTCAGGAAGTACAATAAAATCACTAGGCTACAGAAATAGAGCTAGAGAGAACCAAAATCAACCTCAACCTTAGAGGTGCTTGCTTGTCTTGATGAGGTTTAAAGAGAGAACAAAATTGCATACCACAATAAGGGAAGCACTTGAAGCATTTCAATAGCAAACAAGAAAATTTTCCATTGAACTTGAGNCAATAAGGGAAGCACTTGAAGCATTTCAATAGCAAACAAGAAAATTTTCCATTGAACTTGAGGCATAGTCACTACATAACTGGTTGGGAATTGAAGATACAAATAATAAAAAAAAAACTAAAACANAGGCATAGTCACTACATAACTGGTTGGGAATTGAAGATACAAATAATAAAAAAAAAAACTAAAACAGCCCTATCTCTGAGGTNTTGAGGCATAGTCACTACATAACTGGTTGGGAATTGAAGATACAAATAATAAAAAAAAAACTAAAACATTTCCTCTTTAAAAATCCTGTAATTGTGTAAATTGATGTGTGTTCGTATATGTGGATTATCCATGACAAGAACAATCTCTAAATTCTTCTGAATGAAACCAAAAACTGAAAAAACCTCATTCTTAGCCACGAATTTCATGGATAGTCATACGCAACATATCATCCCCAACGACTGATCGCAACTGTTTCATGAAAATCTCTTTCCCCAATTTTTTATCCTGTGACAGAAGTTCAAGAATTAAATCAACAGCAAGAACATAAGAACGTTTTCAACCCTACATATTCTTTCTGCTCCTCATTTAATTATTTAACAAAATATGCAAAACTTCACAAAAAATAATTGAAGAAACATATACCTTATATGTACTGCATAGTGTTCGCAATTCACAAACTTTGGATGGAGGAAGAGAACTTTCCAGTTTGGAAAATAACTTTGCTCCCAACGGCAATGCATGAGGAACCGGCTTCGTAGATGATGATCCATTCAATTGACCTAAAAAGTTTAAAAAAAAAAAAGAGAGAGAGAAAGAATTAGTTTCCAAAATTCAAGTAGAGATACATAGAAAGCAAAAACAATAAACAAACAGAAAGAGAGAGAACAAGAATTACCTGGCACGCCTTGACAAGATTTGAAGCTCACAACGCACTCGGGAAGGATATGTGTGTTCATATTGGCACACCACACCACATACCAATTAGGATTGTTAAGATCATCCACACCAGTATCAAAACCGACATTTGAAGGATATAACTGTTGAGACCCTGCCCCAACCTTTTCACGGTTGCCCAATATCACTCGACAAAGTATAACATGCTTTTCGCCATTCTCATCTACCTCCGATAACATTGCACTAAAAAACAATTCAAATCAATTACACAATCAGTAAAACTCATCTGCATTCTCACCATTCAAGAGAAAAATATGCATATAAACTACCTAATTGAAAACAATAAGTAGAACTCAATACAATTGTGGCCAAAATTCCAATAAAACTCAAATCATAGGATTGTAAATCTTGTATACTTGTGAACTCTACGTACCTCATGTGAGGTGACTTTGCAGGAGACAAGTAAACACCAACACCATGAGCTTCAGAACCAGAAATCTTGTTGGGCATACTAAACCCATGAGCCAAAATGCTCTCGACGCCTTTGGCAGACGTCCCATGCCAAGCGAATACCATATTGGAGTCTCCCCTAGCAGCCTTCATAATCTCCATCTGCTTCTGGAAAACTTGGTACCGTGCTCTATCCAACGGACCGGTTCGGAGACATTGATGAATCGCGGTAATTGTAGCACTAGGCTCAACAATTCTTAGCCAAGTTGAAAACAAATTTTCCACAATCGAATATGCTTTATCGCCTGGTTTCAACAATTTTGCCTTCGGCCACCTCGGTGATCCCAAATCAGATACAACACATTGCCGCCTTTTCGCTCCGTGACTCTGGCAATTAGACGAACTCCCCTGAGTCTCTTCCTTCAGTCCTTCCGATTCAACATCAACGCCCTGTCTTTTCCTCTTACCGGAACTGAGGTTGGAATTGGAATCCCCGGCAATTATTATCTCGACCTCAATCTTCGGATTCCCAGAACTCAAATTTTCCTTCACACCCGCAATTTCAACTTTCGGATTCTCTGAGGAACTCACAATCTCCGTATTCGGATTTCCGGAAAAATTCTCGAATTCTCCACCGCCTCCACCGACAAATACTTCAGGGAAAAAACACTTGTTTTCAGCATCAATCCAAGCAATAGAAATTTGCTTACCAGACTCGAGATGAATCTGAACCATCCGATAAAAATCAAATAGACATCCAGAACCATCAATTTCAACCTCAACCACTGGCTTGCCCTCCAAGAAACCCGATCTCAGAGAATTAAAAATCTCCACCGGAAAATCAACCCAATACCCATCATCAGAATAATACAAGAACCGAACCGGTTGACCACTCCTCTTGAAATTCGAGTAATTCTGAACCAACAACTCCGCATGCGCATGATAACAACAGCGCTTGCTAGGATTTTCCCAAGACGACGTCGCTGCAACCGAAGACGAAGACGAAGACGACGAAGAGAACACCTTCGAAGGAACTCCGACGTTAATTCTATCTACAACGTTCCTGGATTGATGCTTCTGAGTCTCCATCATCCTCATCGATTTTGAATTCATGGCTCCAAAATCTCTATATATGCCCTAAAAATTGAGAAGCTCTGAAATTTAGAGAAACAGCAGAGAACTTCTGGAATTTGATAAACTTTCCACCGTCTCTATATATAGCCATCCTGCGTTCTCTGATCGTGCGGAAGTGAAGTTACTATTTAGTCCTCGGTCAAGTCGGTGACTGCCTAATGTACGCCGATTCGGGAAATGGGAGAGACGTGTGGAGAAATTTGACTTGCGAAATAAGGAAGTTGGTTTGGCTTAATGACGAGCTTTTTTGGGCTTGTGGGATTAGCCTTTTTTGGGAATTGCTTCGGCCCAAAGAAATTTGGAAATTGGAAAGTCCACCTTTTGACTTTATCATTAAAGTGTGGAATTGCTTCGGCTCAAAGAAATTTGGAAATTAGAAAGTCAGCCTCTTTAGTTTGCATCTTTAAAAACAGAATTCGAAACTTGTTTAGTTATATAATTTACTAATAAAATATATTTAGACACAGAATTTGAAACTTGTTTGGTTATATAATTTACTAATAAAATATATTTAGACAGTGATCAACAAAACTAATTTTTAACTTATCTTCTCAAAGTAGCTCTCTCTCTCCTCTCTCCTCTCTCCATTATCTTCCCACACAACAACTATCTCTCCATTATATTCTCATAGCATCTCTTTCTCCATTATCTTCTCTCAGCATCTCTCACTCCCTTGTCTTCTCAGCACAAACATACACACACGTAGAGTCATTGCACACACATACATTGCACAATACACACACATATATATACTCATAGATCTGTGTATATATATATATTTGAACACAGTTCTGTATATATACACAGATCTGTTGTAGAGAGAGAAATGGGTTGCGTGAGAGAGATAGAAGGTTACAAGTCTTCAGAGTTGCACCTGTGATTTGCCGGAGCTGCACCGGTGATGTGGAAGACGCCTGGTCTCTCAGTTATTGGAGTGAAGTAGAAGACGCTTGATTTTGCCCAGTGGAGAGAGAGAAAGTCAGTGAGAGAGGAAAGCAAAAAAAAAAAAGCAGCCTACATACTATGGCTAATTTGCTGCAAAGGAGATTCGAATGAGAGACTTCACTTCATTAACGAGTGGGATTGTTTCCTTTGTTTTCTATTTTTTTGGTTTGAAAACTCATCTCTAATTTTTGTTCTCAATTCTCATTTTTTTAAAAAAAAATTGTTTTTGAAAATAACTGTCCAAACAGCATCTAAAAAAAATTTCTGTTTTGAGAACAAAAAATTGTTTTCAAAACACAAACCAAACACCACCTCAATCTTTTGACTTTTTTGTTTTCCTAATTAAGTTGACGACCAAGCTTGGACAATTAAATTTCTATGGTCTTCTTCCTTTAACCATGTGCTAATCGACTTTTAGTTATGTTGGATCAATCGATTTCACACACTTATTTCAATATGCTCATCAATTGAATCTTTTTTTTAACATTATATCGCACATTTTCATTATCCTGTAAGATGCATTTCTAAACCCTAATCGGCCATTGGTGACATGGTTAATGCTTGAGAAACTCGTTCGACGTGTTACAATAATTACGAACTTACAAGTAGATGAGTGAAAGAGACAGAGGACAAGAATTCATGTACATGGTATGAGCTTAGCCTTTATGAATAGTTTTTATTCTTTCTAGTAATTGTAATTATTTTGGAAGAAGGTTTTTTTGGGGTGTTTGAGAAGAGTTTGGTTCACGAGGAAGAAAAAGAAAATTTTAGAAACATCACATTTTAAATAAGTGGTTCTTTATATCAAAGCGGAAGTAAGCTCATTTGGCCATTAGGACCATATTCTAATGTAACAACGTCATAGGTATACACGATTCTTTGTCAACAAAAATTGACAACCCTTAATGAGTTTGGCCTTTGCTTTGAAACTTTACTTAGAGAATATATGGTAGCTTCTTAAAGAGCTCAATACTTTTAGCCTTTGCTTTGAAAGTCTATGTAGAAAAAGAGAGAAGCTTCTTCACTTTTCTTTTGTTCTCTAAACTTTTCTAGAATGGTATCTGATTTGTAAAGGTGTAATTAGTGTCAGTGGGCAGCATTCCATGAGGTGTTTTTTATATTTCAAAAATATTACACGAGCTAAATAATATTCAAAACGTTATAACTCAAATGTATATCATTATTTAGATAAGTGAATTTCATCAATTTTTTCAACGAGTCCCACTCATCCAAGATATCACATACATTTGGTTGTAATTTTTTGAATTTCATTTGAGTTTTTATAAAAAAATTTTGCTTTTGTATTATCTTATATGTTGATAAGCCTCTTTGGCATCCAATAAGACGAGTAAATAGACACTATGTTATCGTCATGGTGTGTTATCTTTTAATAATAAATTTATAAGTAGGGAAGGTGAATCACACTTTTTTTTTTGCTACAAAGTGTCAAGACTTGCATTGACTACTCCTTCGAGTTCTGAACTGACTACTGTAACTCGAGCTAATTTAAGGATACGTCTCCTAAAGAACAAGGGTGGCTAGTCTTTAAGAGATGTGGCAAGTATCAAACCTAAAATCTTTTGCTTGCAAGAGACAAACATGTTTGACCATTGGATCACTCCTAAGGGTTAAGTGAACCCTAATTGCTATTTATTTCCAAACATTGGAATGGTTACCAAATGGTATGGAGGGGTAATTACTATAATATATGAGATCCAATTGTTTACTTGTTACGTTCTTAATAAATGGTGACACCATGCATTGGTAATAACATGATGTCATTGTTACACCCAATATTTTCTCCAATAACAGCACTTAGGATTGGTTTTTCAACTTTAGTTTTTCCTTTACAATTTATTTTTTCTTAATGTAAGCATGTGTTTGTAAAACACACTTTTAAACTATAAGACGTGACTTTAAAAAAGATGGAAGAGCTGCAAGGCCTCATCTCTGAGTGCAATCTTTTGGATACAAACTTTAACGGACCGAAATTCACTTGATCTAACAATAGATCAGGTAGGGCGAATGTGCAAGAGAGAATTGACAGGGTTGTGGTAAACTTGGAATGGAGTTTCAAATTTCCCCAGATGCAAGTCATTCATGAGGCCAGAATGGGCTCTGACCATTGCCCGATTATTATCAAGCTTGTTCCAGAAGGTAAGAAGCCCTCTTTTTATTTCAAGTTTGAAGCGATGTGGATGGATGACAGCTCCTATGAAGGAATCATTAAGAGGAACTGGGAAACTAAATTGGTGGGCTCGCCCATGTACGCGATGGTAAAAAAATTACAATAATGTGGGAAGGAGATTGCTAGCTGGAGCAGACAACACTTCAACAAACAACAGGAAATTATTAACTCAGCTCAATCTTAAACTAATAGACACTCAGATGAAGGAAGCCACAGAGGATAATCTCATAATGGAGGCTGACATTGCTGTCGAAATTGACAAAATAAATGCAAGGGAACAGAAATTTTGGAAGCAGAGATCCCGAATCAACTAGTTGGACTCTGTAGATCAAAATACGAAGTTCTTTCATCAATCAACAATTTAAAGGAGACAAAGAAATAAGATTTTCAGGCTCAAAACAGACAATGCAGTGTGGCTTGAGGAGGAAGATAAGATAAACACCCATATAATAGACTATTTCCAACGCCTGTTTTCTACCACAGGTCAAAGACTTTTGGAAGGCGTTTAGGAAGGCGTTTTGGAAGGTGTGGAATGTAAAGTTTCTGATCATATGAATCATCAACTTCTGATGGAGATTAAGGATGAGGAAGTCTTCTTGGTAGCTAAACAATAGGAGACCCACAAGACACCTGGCCCTGATGGTTTTCCAGGGGTTTTCTTTTTGACCTATTGGCATATAGTTGGGAATGATGTTTGCTTTGTTGTCAGAAATTTTTTTGAGAAGAGATTTATGTTGAAGGAGCTGAATAGAACTAATCTTGTCCTAATCCCCAAGGAAGCAAATCCGGAATCCATATCACAATTCAGACCAATAGCGTTGTGCAATTTTCTGTACAAGATCATCTCCAAAGTCATGGCAAATAAAATGAAAGGAATGTTGCACTTCATCATTTCTCCTCAACAAGCTGCCTTTGTCCCTAGAAAGCAGATTCAATATAGTATTGTTGTAGCAAACGAAATCCTTCACTATCTGAAATTGAAGAAGAAAGGTAACATCCCATATCTCTCTACCAAACTGGATATTAGCAAGGTGTATGATAGGATTGAATGAGACTTCCTCGAAGTGATGATGCTCAAATTGGGCTTCTGTTCATGATGGGTGCATCTTATCTGTCAATGTGTTTGTAATGTTCCAAATTGTGTTGAATAGAGACAGAAGGGGCATGGTTCATCCACAAAGGGGTATTCAGCAGGGAGATCCCTATCTTTTCATCTTGGTCACTGATGTGCTATCTTTTTTGCTCCAAAAATGTGTGGAACGTCACAGGTTCCAGGGTGTCCAAGCTTGCAGAAAGAGCCCTTCCGTGTCTTGCCTCCTATTTGCAGATGACTCCCTATTTTTTTATTAAGGCTAAGGAGCAGTGGATAAGGAACTTTCTCAAAATCCTTGGTGAGTATTGTGTGGCTTTGGGACAATGTATGAACTATGAGAAATTAGGAATTCTGTTCTCATCCAACACAACAGCTGAACAGAATGAGCAACTCTGTAACCTCCTAGATATGCGGCCTTTGGCTCCTAACACAAAATATCTGGAGGTTCCTACGTTTTGGGGAAGATCAAAGTCTAAGATTTTTAGTTTTTTGTTAGAAAAGGTCTTGAAAAAGATGCAAGGCTGGAAAGGGTTTTTACTCACACAAGGGAGCAAAGAAATTTTAATCAAAGCAGTGATACAAGTTATTCCCTCCTATCCAATGTCTGTACTTTGTTTTCCAAAGAGCTTTTGTGCTAAGTTAGACCGGTATGTTCGTAACTTTTGGTGGGGCAAAGAAGGGGAGAAGAGAGGAATTCACTGGAAGAAATGGGTGAATATGATTGAACCGAAAATGAGAGGAGGAATGGGCTTTAGGGACTTCTCCTCCTTCAATCAAGCCCTTCTAGCTAAACAAGGGTGAAGATTCCTTACTTTTCAAAATTCCTTCTGGGCCAAGTTTATTAAGTCAATTTATTTCCCGGAGTGTGATTTCATGGAGGCAAAGCTGGGATCTCGTCCTTCTTGGGTTTGGTGAAGCCTTTTGAAGGGACGAGAATTACTTGAAAAAGGGTTGTTGTGGCAAGTAATGGAAGGAACTAGGATAAGAATTTGGGATAACAAGTGGATTCCACTTTTACCTAATGTTGTCATTAATTTTTTCCCCAAGATCCCAATCATGTAACCTCCACCTTGCTAGTAATCTCATTGTTAGGGCTTTCAAAGTGTGGGATTTTGTGCTCCTCAAGGAATTATTTCATGAAGAGGAATATAGGGCAATTATGTCCATCCCACTTTCAAAATTACTTGGGGTCGATAAAAGGATATAGCATCCAAGTTTCAAAGTCGTCTATACTGTTAGATCAGGGTATTCATTGGCAACTTGCCTCAATTCTCCATCTACTGTGGATGATGGGCCTTCCTTCTCACCTCATCCGATGTTATGGTATGTCATTTGGCATATGTGACTCTCCCCAAAATAAGGCAGTTCTGGTGGCAAGTTTGCAACAATGCCTTGGCCTCCCGTGAAAATTTGTTTGGAAGAAATTGTGGTAACTCCCCTTGGTGTCAGTTTTGTCTGGTTTCTATCGAAACCATTGAACATATTTTGTTTGGTTGCGAATGGTCGAAGAAGGTTTGGTTTGACTCTGTTTTTGGCTTTCATTTTGATGAGCATTATTTTTCTATTATGATACAATGGGTCTCTACTATCTTGGACATTATTAGTGATACATCCCATTCTTTAGAAGTCATGGGGAATATTGTGACAATAGCCTGGACAATCTGGAAAGGGAGGAATCATGCAATTTTTAATCAAGCGGAGCCTAATGTTTTCACTACACTGCTCACAACAAGAATTTTATGGAGTGATATTGTTGCAGCTAGTAAGTCTGGTGTGCCTTCTTCTTTTGCTCCAACTGAGTCTATGTTCCCCCCTATATGCCAGAGTCATAACTTTACAATTAGTTGTGATGGGGCTTTTAAAAAGGGCAAGGCTGCTATTGGGGTTGTTGTACGAGATTCAACTAATTCTTTTGTGGACGAGATTGGTAAAAAGGTTATGGCATCCTCCAGCCTCCAAGCATAAGCTATAGCACTCAGAGATGCTTGCCTATATGCGAGTGCATCACAACTCAAGCACTCTTATGTTGAGAGTGATTGGCAAGAGGTTATTAAACTTTCCCCAACCAAAGATGCCCCCCCTAGGAAAATAGTGCTCTAGTGGCGGACATCATATTTTTTGCCAATCATCTTCATCTTAGTTTTTTATACAAGCCAAGAGCCCTCAACAGGGCTGCTCACTGGGTTGCTGCAGCAGCGATGATCGATTCGCTTGCTACGAATTGGGTCAGTTTTCCCCCCAATGAGTTCAAAGCTTTACTTTCTATTGTTTGTAATCATAATTTTCCCACTTGAATGATATGTCACTCTCTTTTGATCCAAAAAAAAAACAACTATAAGATGCGACTTGAAAAACATATTTTAAAAACACATTTTCACTTTAAAAAAACAAGCGGTTAAACCACTTTTCAATTAGAAACATAAGTACTTTGAGTACAACATTAAAAACTATGGTACACGATGAATAAAGGTGTAAAATCAGGATAATTTGATTTTTTTTTAAATAACTAATACCATATACGAGATTATTGTTTGAACATCTTTGTTGTTTTAATATAATTTGTCAAACTCTTTGGTCCAGTCAAATGTTAGTCATCTATATTGAGATTAAGGTATTTATAAAAAATAAATCTCTCGTATATTTATTTCAAAGAGTTATCAAAATTTAAATGCAACACATCTGAATTTACAGTTCATCAACTTGAAATGTTTCACCACCATGGATTATGTATGTCCGCTAAAGTTGTCCTTTAACAAGGGAGAAGAAGACCTAGTTTGAGATAAGGATCTACTAAATTGTGTTCGTTAGGTTTGCAATAAGTTCTAATATTAAATAAAATTTACTATTAATCAGTGATTACAATATATTAGATTGCGGATTGAGATTTTCTCAAATATATATATATATTTAATTTTCTTTCTTGACCAATCATTTATCATCAATGAGTGAATCTCACTTGAATCCAAGATAATGATCCACTAAAAAAATAATAAAGAACAAATATATTGGAGAGATCTCACGTTTTCTTATTGTATTGGGATTTTTGTTCTTTTGATGAATTTACACAGAAAGAAAACACTAATTTTTTAACTACTTTACTCCTCTTCAACAAGAAATCAATAGAAAATCTTCTTTGTTCCTTAAATTCTAATTTATTTTTTTTTGATTCTAGAGTGTTTAGACTTGCGTCGATTATTTTCTTGAACTCTTAAACCAATGACGGTAACTTTGAGTTATTTAAAAAACATATTCTTTAAAGAATAAAAGTAATTGACCTTATAAGGATGGAGTTGTTAGATCAATTAGTAATTAGTAAATAAAATAAGGTCTGTGTATGATCGGGTATTGCCCAGGATAACCAAGTCCAAATAATAAAATAGCGGCCCACATGAGGAGTAAATTTATAGAGAAAATATTCATTACAACGTGGTGATACGCATGACAATGTGATTTGGCAACTCCACCAAAAATAAATAAATAAATTCTATAAAAATCAATAAATAATCTAGCAAATAACTCTCATTTTTCTTCCAGGTCCGTTAATTTAGCAGAATTATGCTAAAAAATGCAAAAAAGAGAAATTTTTAAAAAAATTTATGTGTTTGATTAGCATGAAATGAAAAATAATATAATTTTTTTTTCTTCCATGCTTAAATTTTCTCACACCTAACTAAATTTTTTTTCTTGCACAAAACGCAAGGAAATACAAGAAAATTGTGATGTATAACTAACTTCCTATTTTACCTTCATTTTTCTTAAAATATTTTATTAGTTATTAATTTAAAAAAATCTTGGTATGAATTTAGTTAATAATATAATTTGACTCAGAGACTTTCGTGCTGACGATTGTTCGAATTAGGTTAGGACTAACTTTTTTTAAAAAAATTAATTTTTAATTATAATACATATTTTTTTCTTTAAATTGATTTAATATAATTAAAGGTAATTTAGACAATTAAAAAAAAATTTGTAACTTTCTTTTCTTTCAAACAATAAAATGAATTTTTTTTAAAATTTTCTCACAAGTTTTTCATGCTAAAAAAATAAATGCATGAAAATATATTTTTTTTAATTTTCTTTTATTTCACTTCACTTTCTATCATTTTCACTTTTCACCATTGTTTTCATCTAACCAAACGGACTCCCATATAGACTCAACTAGAGTTTAACTTGTCCACTTACAGTGACCATATGGGCATCAAATAGTTAATGGGATAAATTTGAAAAGACCAAAAAGCCCTTGATACTCCCCCCAACCCTTTCTTCGCCTTCGTTCAATCGCGTTCCGCCGCACATACCCACTCCATCTTCTTCGTCTTCGTCGGTGAAGGATCCGGCTGCAATCCAGTAGCTTCTCCGTTTAGGTTACAGGAAATAATCCATCAGGTATGCACGATTTCTTAAGTTTCGTTCGAGAACCCGGGATTAACGTTGTGAGTCAATGTGCGGACATTATCAATGAGTTTTTTTCCCTAAATTTAATATATTTGTTCTGCTGTAATAATTGATTCAGTGCGGTGTCGGGTGGAGTGTAAATTTTCGTATTTCCATGTAGTATTCGTGTTTTTGTTGATGATTTATCAATGCTATGCTGGGTTAAGTGTATTTGTTCTATATTGTAATCTGACTAGTGAATGCAAGCAACGTAGTGAGTAAGAATTTTGGCGTGTTCACGTCATAGTTGATGTAATTTTGAATTTTCTTTTCTCCTTAATGTCCAGACCCATCATTTATATGCACCTTATAATCTTACAAATTTGAACAATTTATACCTGGAAATTGTTTTTTGTTGGTTGAAAGTTGGAAGAATCTGGTTTTTGTTTGTGCACAGGGGTAACAGCTCGGCAAAACCCAGTCAAACACTTGGAGTTTTAACTTTCTTTCTGAGGGTGGCTGGGGTTCTGACTTCAATTTTTGGGGATATATAAAACACTTATTTGGTTCGGGATTTGAGTTCTGCATCTTTTCATTTGGTCAGGAAATACAACTCAAGCTAACAATTAATCGAAAAATGTACTACAAATTACGGGTACTTTTAGAAAGTATTGGACATGCATCCATGAACCAGTATCGATTGGCATCTCATATGGACATGTTGTGTTTAGTGTGTTACATGAAAAGAAAACCTTCACATTGTATTTCCCTAGCAATGGCATTAAAAAAAATTTAATGTGATTTAGGTGGGAATGGTTAGTTCAATGAATGGGGTTTTTTTTTTTGTTAGTTAGGAGTGTTCACATTAAAAATTTTCGTGTATTTTTTGAATTTGTGGTCATTTTTTTTGATAAGAAATTTGTGGCCATGAATGCTCATTCTTTTTGCATATTTATCAGCGGTAGTAGTTATTACAGGTTTGGAATTGTTTCTCTTGACATGTCAGTTCATTGATGCATTCCAAGAGACCATATAGGTGGACCATTTCCGAGCAAAATGGTAAAGGCAAGCGGCAGAAATCAGGAGCATTTGGGTCCCAGACTCTTTCATCGAAAAGGTCACCTGGAAGCACTGTCTTCCGTGTACTTTGTCCTGTTTCCAAAATTGACAGTGTTATTGGAAAAGATGGCGACATCATACTACAAATGCAGCGGGAAACTGGTGCAAAGGTCCGAGTTGAGGAAACTGTTCCTGGATGTGATGAGAGGGTAATCACTATCGCAGGTTCTGATAATGGTAATGAAGTTGGCAGCGAGCAGATCAAGGAGGATGGTAAAGAGACTAAAACTATTGAGGAGGGTGAGAATGCAGATGAACATGGTGAGGATCATGTAGATAAGCAATCTATTTCTGTTGAACATTCACAACCCGAAAAGACGACTTCATCTGTTCAGAAGGCCGTTTTACTTGTGTTTGAAAGAATAACTGTTGAAGAATCAGAGATGGATGGAGGTGATGAAGAGAGTAACAGTTCTTCCAATATTTTTGTGAGGTTACTTGTGCTCTCCTGTCAAGTGGGCTGCCTTTTAGGAAAAGGTGGCAGTGTAATCAAGCAAATGTCTTCAGAAACTGGTGCACAGATTCGGGTTCTTCCTAGAGATAAACTTCCTCCTTGTGCTTCTTCTACTGATGAACTGGTTCAGGTAATTTTGGTGATACTCTCTCTTACTTACTATGTCAGCATTGCCTAGCTCAAATGTCATCCATAATTCCATCCTATGCAAGGGTATTCAACATCTGTGATGTGATTGTAATTGATCATTACAGTGCACATACTAGCGTCCGCCCCATGTGATGCACGGAAGTTATAATTTTTCTTAATTACCACCCAACAGCCACCTCTACCCTACTGCAAAAAAACAAAACAAAATGCCTATAACATTTTGTTTCGTGTATGTTTTTCTCACAATGTCATTTTTAATTGGATGAAATTTATCTAGTTCCATAATTTTGTTGCAGATTTCTGGGGATCTTGATGCCGTTAGGAAAGCTCTTCAATCTGTCTCTCAACAACTTCTGGAGAATCCACCTCGGGATCAGGACTCTCTGTCTCCCAATCCTAGTGGGCCATCATCTCGGTCCGTTGGTCATCCTCTTTCTAGGCTAGAAGCATACCCAACATCCAACTATACTTTTCCTGCTCAAGGACCACCTTATGCTGCTGGGCATCGTGATTTTGACAGTGGTGTTCCTGGTCGAATGATTCCTTCTCAGGATATCCTAACATTCAAGTTATTGTGTCAAGATGAGAAGGTAGGAGGTGTAATTGGAAAGGGTGGGACTATAATAAAGGCACTTCAGCATGAGAGTGGTTGTGAGATCAAAGTTTTGGATGGTGTAGCTGATTCAGAGGACCGCATAATTGTCATATCTGGTCCAGCGGTATAGTTTGACATTTTGACCTTGATTAGATCTGTTAATTTGATCTACTGATGCAAGGCAAGAAATGGCAAAACTGATTTTTAACTAATCTGATGCAGCATCCTGATGATAGCATATGTTCCCCACAAGATGCAGTTTTTCGTGTACATTCCAGGATTGTTCGGGCTGCACCTGAAAGCAAAGAGAAGACTGTGATAGCAAAACTTCTTGTCTCATCGAATCAAATTGGATGTCTCCTTGGCAAGGGTGGTGCTATAATAGCTGAAATGAGGAAGTCATCTGGGGCTTATATCCGTATATTGGGGAAGGATCAATTTCCAAAGTGCGCTTCAGAAGATGAAGAAGTAGTTCAGGTTTGATAGCATGGGCTTATATCTTTAACGGTACCTCTGTAAGCATGACAATGCTGAGTATTTTGGGTTTACCTGGTTTTCTTACTGATGTTGTTTCTTTTTTTCTCGGAAAGTATTGATGATGTTTCTTGGGCTGACTTATTTGTATGGGTGATCCTGACTTACCATGACCATGTAATCCAAGAATATTTGTGCATATGTAAAATGTGTGGGTCTAACTCTTTTTGTTGCAAAATATGATCGATATTTTATTGTGCTAATCTAGTTGTTACTTTTGGGGAATCTTTTCTGGACAGATTAATGGAGAATTAGCAATAGTTCAACAGGCTCTTTGGCAGATAACCTCTAGGTTGCGGAATCATTTCTTCCGTGATGCATTTCCTTCTATCAACCATCGCTCAAATCCTTCCTTTCTGGATCAAGTACCTCCATTTCCTTCATATGCAGGAAGGAGGGAACGTTCACCTCCCGGAATGTATTCTAATTCAGGCCCATCATTTCACAATATCGATTCTATTGGTGGACTGCCTTCATATGGTGGTTTTTATCCTCACGATGATCGCCCTCCTTTTTTGCACAATTATCACAGATCGGGCTTTCCCCCAAACACTTCTGAAATAATCTCGTCTTCAGCAACATGGGGTCCTCAGGTATCCATTTGTTATCTCATTACATGCGGGGCTTATTTTTCCTTTGCAAGTTTTTCCTTCTAATCAATAAGAGCATCTCTTTTGTGCTCCTGCATGATTGTTAGCAATATATTGTCTGCTTCTTAGTTTAAAGCTTAGGAATTGTTGCAGGAGCTATTTTGATTCGGGATAAAGAAATTGTTCACTAGTGTAAATACAATAGGCATTAGAATAGAATATATGCAGTACCCTCACGGGATTTTTCTGTTAATATACTTAAATGTTTCGTAAACTGAATTGCAGGGATTGGTTGAAGGTGGTGGCCCTGGAGGCTTGCCAGACTACACAGGAGCTCCCCCTAGAAGAATAGGTGGATTTGGAGGGTTTGTACTTTATGAGCTGTTTTTAGATATTAGTGATCTTGATGTCAAATTGTATGCCGGAGGGATTCCTATGGTTATTTACTTTACATATTTGTATCTTTATATTCATTGTAGAGGAAATCATCAAGCTATTATCACGAACACCACTGTGGAAGTTGTTGTTCCTCGTTATGTTGTTCCGGCAATCTATGGGGAGGATGGGGGATGTCTGAACCAAATTCATGAGGTGTGTTTTTTTATCATAATTCATCCTTGGAGACTTACACTTTTCTCTTTTGGTAGGAAAGTCTTCTTGTTGTCTACATATCTGTCATACATTATTGAAAGTTAGGCCTCCAATATATCATATCAGATACTATATATCTTTCGAGTTATTCTAACTAGGAGCATGATGGAAGTTGACTTGTTATGCCTGATTGTCTGTTATGACTTACTTGCCCACCTTTTGAATCCCTTTTGAGGACATCCATGTTCTCTTCGATGCATTACCATAATGATCTCTTGGAAGGTGAATGCAAGGGCGGAGGCAGCGCTGTTCCAAGGTGGGCAAGTGCCCCCCTCTCAAAATTTTTTTTATTTATTACTTAGGTATATATATTGTATATTTGTATAATATATTATTTGTGCCCACCCAAAATCAAAGACAAAAATATTAATGTACACTTATATCAAATGAATAATTTTAATTATGTCCTCCCTATATTTTTTGGCACATCAATTAGCGTATATTTATATCAAATGAATATGAATTTTTTGATACAAATTGGGCAGGTTATGTACCTATCTAGATAAATTTTGAATATATTAGAATTATTTTATATTTTTTAAGACTAAAAAAGACATGATATACATATTCGCTAGTTTATTTGTGATTTTGACATTTATTTTCGCTAATTATGGTAAAAATTATAGAGTGCACATTGAATTGCATAATCGATCAAATGATTTTATAAATACCAAAGTGATAACATGATTATGTATCTAAAGAATAATAAAGTTATGCAACGTTTTCAAAGTACAAAAATTCACCAAAGTTAATTCTAAATGATTTTAATTAGTTAATATTTTATAAAAAAAAATGTTATCGTTTGTATATACTAGATTTACCAAATTTCGGTATGGTGGGTTTAATGAACTTTTAAGTATTAAATAGAACGTAATTAAATAAATTATTGTCCTATTTCTATCAATTGTAAGAAAAAAATAATAGTTTATTAAAATATTCGTGCCCACCGTGACACAATTTTTTGGCTCTGCCCTTGGGTGAATGTACCTTTTTTTCTTATTTACTTACCTGCACTCCCAAATATATGCTTGGAAATGCGGTGTGTGAGAAAAATATTTATTTGCATAGATGGTAAAGGTCAATAGTTCTATACTTTCAGTACTATTGTTGCATCTAGATATTCATCAGCAGACCTGCCATGGAATCTTGTATCCATTTGGAAACCCTAGAAATTGGAACTAGTTCTTCACTTCTACTTCAGATATTAGCTTTAGAATGCCCATATCAGATAAAGATGAAAGTCCATGTCACACTGTTTCGTGATACAATGTGCTTCTCTGGCATGCCGCATGTGGCCTCAACTAGGAATGGATCTCATTTTGAGGGAAATGACCTTAATTGTTTCTAAATAAATTTTGATTTTGAGTAAGTGGTTCCACTTAACTTTTAAACCACTTCAGTTGTTTTCGTTTTTGTGCAAAGTTATTTCAGGTTTAATGTTTATAGACACCAAATTTCCAATGTATAAGTCTTATTAAAGTTATCTTCTATAACATGAATCAAGCCTCAATCACACCAAGTGTATAGCCTCAAATTGATTTTTAGGACCATAACTCCTAGTATTGGTTGTTATGTGTGCTTGTTTGGCTGTCTGAAAACAATTCTGTAGTCATTGATGTAAAGTTGGGAACGTTAGCACCTCGTTAGTGGAGATTGGAGTTTGTTTTCGCAGAGTTGATTATCAATGTTTATAGGTTGTTATGATTTAATCTTGTGCTGCTGACGGAAGTGGAATTGAGGCATCAAGTGAGGAGAGAATTTTCTGGTGTATGTCCGGGTTGGGGGCTACATTTTGGGGGACACGGTAGATCTTTGTGGAAGTGAAGCATCAAGCCCAGGAGAGAATTTCCAGGTGTATGTCTGGGTGGGGGCTACATTTTGGGGAACATGTTAGATCTATATACTATTCGCATATATACAAATTGTCATACGTTGAGTCTGAATTCATATGGCCATCTGTCATGATAAACATGCTTTTATATGGTGAAACGCTGGTCCAAGAAGCACCAGATCAGAGATATAGAGAAGGATCTGCCAGAAAGTTCACTTTATAATTTAGTAATGTAGCCAAAATGATTGAAGGGCTGAAAGGTCTTTTTGTTGTTCAAAACTTGAAGGAGAGATACCCATTTTAATGATTAATGCAGTCTACACTTGGCTACATCTTGTGTGTGGGGGTGCGGCTGTATGTTTTGGGGGGGGGTGGGTGAAAGAGAGAGAGAGACCTAACTGGACTGGAATCCTGCGCCAAATATTGTCAATCTTCTAACCTAGCAAACTCGTTCCATTTTCTTCCAGTTACTGGCCTTTGCACGTAGAGAGATGCCTAGCTGGACTGAGATCCCATCCGAAATACCGTCAAACTTCAGCCCCAGCTACCCCTTTTTCCTTCACCTATTTTGGTGCTAAAAATATGGGAGGGCCAAAGACCCTTCACATGTTTTTAGTGATCAATAATTTAATATAATGTCCAGCAAAATTTGGCCAAAAAAAAACCCTTCTCTGAAAAAAATCAAGTTCTCCACAAGAACTTTTATCAGAATGCCTGCAACACTGAAAGAAATTTGCCAATATACCTACCTACATACATGCATAAATTTAATGCATGCATATATATACACACATAAGATGGAGATTACTTTTTGGGAGTTTTGAACTACATTTTCTTGATTATGGATAGCACACATCAGACAATCTCACATTTTTTTCCTGTTGATGTGGTATATCTTGAATTTGTAAGCAAGCATTACTGTCAAGAATAAGAATTATTTTAGTACATAAATTCTTGTGTCTTAAGATTGTTTGAATAATAATGACATTTCATTCGCCTATATTGTCCTCATTGCTTAATGTTCTCAAGGTTTTATTGCATTTTTATTTCCACCTCTATTTGTGGTCTCCATTTTGCAAGTAATGAGATATTCACGACCTCAGTTTTTCCTCTTATTAGCACCAAGAGTTTTGCACACCCTAATTGTGCCACACGTCTTGTTCCTTCTCACATCATAAGTCTTTTTCAATTAATCTGAAGATCACAATGCAGTAAATTGCCCATTCACCGCTGTTATCTATTTTTTTAGTCATCAAATATTTACATTTCTATCAAGTTAACAACATTGTTGTGACTCTGTTTTAGATTTCTGATGCAAAAATTACAATTACTGATCCCAAACCTGGAGCAACAGAAACTTTGGTCATAATATCTGGGACACCTGAGCAGACAAATGCTGCGCAAAGTCTAATTCAAGCATTTGTAATTAGCGAGACAGAAGCATCTTGATCTTTGATATGGAGGTAATATGTAGTGTCTTGTTCACTTCGGCTGCAAATTTTAATGCACTCTTGTATTCACATTCATAACATCTAGCTTGCATTTAGTGGTGTTGTTTTGTCATCAACCACGGCTATTTTTCTATCTATTTACAAAAACTGATGTGATACACGATACTTAGTCTCCACTGCTTGTCTTGTTAATCAGCTGAAGGCCAGTAACTGGAGAATGCATGCGTTCTAATTTTGCAGTTTGGGGAGCACAGAGAACTTACTTGAACTTTGGATGCTTGCAAACTTGTACCGGTTCATTTGACGGCCATAGGAAGAATGCCTGTTCAGTTCAGTTATCAGTTGAAAAGCTTGATATTTTGTACTTTCTGTGGCTTTGAAGTGCTTCAAATGAAAAAGAACATGCTTTTCACTTGTATTATATTTTGATTGGATAAAACAAATTTACAAATGAGAAGTAGAGAGCAGGATTCTGTTGTATCTGAAGTGGTGTTGGTGGCTTTTGACATGTAATCTCTCCCTTACCAGTATCTTTATCCCACTGCTGTTGTTGACACCTATGCCACCATCACCACTGGTGATGGTGGTGGTGGCAGCAGAACGATAGTTGAGGCAGTGGTAGAGTGGTGGTTGCAGGGGTAATAGTAACAAGTGATGGTAGTTAGGATGTGGTGGTGGTGACACTGGTGGTGGTGATGGCGGCAAAGTGATGGTNCGGTGGCAGCAGAACAATAGTTGAGGCAGTGGTAGAGTGGTGGTTGCAGGGGTAATAGTAACAAGTGATGGTNCAGCAGAACGATAGTTGAGGCAGTGGTAGAGTGGTGGTTGCAGGGGTAATAGTAACAAGTGATGGTAGTTAGGATGTGGTGGTGGTGACACTGGTGGTGGTGATGGCGGCAAAGTGATGGTGGTGGGATGNGTAGTTAGGATGTGGTGGTGGTGACACTGGTGGTGGTGATGGCGGCAAAGTGATGGTGGTGGGATGCTAGAGAAGAGGTATAAAATTGTAAAATCAAATATTTAGTCTTCAGCTCTTAATACGGATCAAACAAATTTGTGCAATTTGGTATTGAAATTTTAGTATATACTCTAAAATTCTTAGATTAAACAAATAATAATTTTAGCATTCAAAATACAATATTTAGTTTTACATATATAATTTTTAATTTTCTCAAACTTGTGTCGTCTACTGGTCTGCCTCTGTGCTTTAAGTGTAAACTTCCATCCTCCCTAAGGAATAACCTTAAAAGGAGTTTTGTAAGATTTCATGATATGAGTTCCCGTTTGAGGTGGAAGTGGAGTAGCCCTCGGGGTTTATTAAAGAATGAATTTTTCATGTTTGGTCAGCACAATTAAAAGGATGAGGGAGATGATAAAGATCATAATTATTAGACTAACCACTAGTTTCTTAAAGAATTAATTAAGTACATGAGTTCTAAGAACATTTTTATTCCCTTTTGAGTAAATTATATTTTATCGTCTTAAATTATTATCATTGTTTCACTTTATACTTTTGAACTGTAATATTTTTCAAATTGCATTTTAAAATATTAATTTTATTTTATATCATTCCAATAAATGTCGGTAAACTTGAAAATCTCTTAAAGGAGGTTGGGAAACCCTAGTTTCTTGTCAAATGCTTAGTAATATTTTATTTTACCTCTTTTACAACCAAATAGTTACTACAAAGAAAAAAAAAGATCAGTTAAAATAATAAAATTTGAAGCCCAAGAAACGCAAAGTCATGGATAAATATTTTTCTTAATTTTTGATCTGTATTGTTGTACATGTGCAATAGACAGTTGTTTATTGACAGTATAGATCATTTACATATGTATTTACGATCAAAAAATTGATAACCACTATGTATTGGAGTGATATGAAATACAATTAATATTTTAGAATGCAATTTAAAAAAATTTACAGTTAAGAGTATCAAATAAAACAAAGGTAAAAATTCAAGAGGATAAAGTATAATTTACTCTAAAATTTTTTAAGATATAAAATACGAAAAGTCATAATTCCTTCTCATTAATTATAGTCTGTAAACAAAAATAAAAAAATATATATATTAAAGAGGATAAGAATCTAATTTTAATCATATATTTGTTTCACAATAATACTATTAAGATATAATTATGATATAATTTATTGATCTAATTCATCACAACTATTAGATTGATATGATAATAGATCATGAATCCATTGTCAATCTAATAATTAGATAAATAAATTATATTATTAAATTTCTTAATGTTATAATTGTTGTGGATTTAATCATAATCAACAAATTTCACATTAGGTGATTTATTTTGAATAAATTGTTACAATTTTAAAAATAGAAGTGATGGATCTTATCCTACCCTATCCTATCTTATATCCGATTCAAAATGGTACATTTATATGCACCAAACATAACGAGATTCAGTGCATTTATTGCGTTGGATTGATATGACCCGTAAATTTATCCAAATCTTTCTGAGTCACTTTCCTATCCAACTTTAACTACTCTTGCTGTCTATGTTATATATATATAATAATAAATCTATCCGCAGTAAAACTCTCTGGTAACACTCCCAATTTGATCGTCATCGCGTAGTTGAACTCATCACTTTGGCGCTTTCATTCAGATTCTCCTTGGAATTGCTTCTGCTCCAATGGAGGATTACTCTCTACCTCATGACTTTCTTTTCCTTGGATTCGACAGCTCTACTCAGTAACCTCTCTTCTTTCTCAACTTCATTCTTCATAAGTTGCTTCACATATTTCAATGATTCTTATCTCTTTCGACCCTTTTGATTGTCCCTTTTTCTGGGTTCTTTAGTTTTCTCAATGTTTCACTCATAGCTAAACCAGGGTTTTTTTTTTTTATTGCTGTTACTTCAATTGTGTATTTCTTATATAATTGATGATTGTTTAGAGTTAGGTACCAAGTTTGAAACTTTTAACTGAATTATATACAACTTCGATTGTTTAGGTCATTGAAGGCAACTGTGTTAGATGCTAATCTCAACATTGTCACTTCGGAGATTGTTAATTTTGATTCTGAGTTACCCCATTACAAAACCAAAGATAGTGTGTACCGAGACACATCGGTTAATGGTCGGATTGTTTCACCCACTTTGATGTGGGTGGAAGCATTGGATCTTATACTTCAAAGACTTGAGAAATCAAAATTGAAATTTTCAAAGATTGCTGCTGTTTCCGGTAGTGGCCAGCAACATGGCAGTGTGTATTGGAAGAATGGCAGTTCTGTTAAGCTATCATCGTTGGACGCCAAGAAACCACTAGTGGATCAACGTGGTGATGTCTTTTCAATTAAGGAATCGCCGATATGGATGGACAGCAGTACCACTGAGCAATGCAAAGCCATTGAAAAGGCTGTTGGGGGTGCTTTGGAGTTGTCTAGACTTACTGGTTCTCATGCGCATGAGAGATACACTGGTCCTCAAATTAGGAGGATATTCGAGACACAGCCTGAAGTTTATAACAATACGGAGAGGATTTCTCTAGTTAGCTCTTTCATGGCATCTCTTCTTATTGGGGCCTATGCTTGTATTGATCAAACTGATGGGGCAGGGATGAACTTGATGGATATTAACCAGAGAGCTTGGTCTAAAATATGTTTGGAGGTTTGTTTGCAGTACTTCGACAATAGGATTTGCAACACTTCATAGTTTTATGATTATTCAAGCCTTTTCAAATGATGATGGTTATACATTCACCCAATGCTTTGTGTTGAAGATAAATCTTGGGTTTCTCATTCAGATATATTGAATTTCATGTTTATCATAGGCCACCGCCCCAGGTTTGGGAGAAAAACTGGGAAAGTTAGCCCCTGCACACGCTGTTGCTGGCTTTATTGCTCCCTATTTTGTGGAGAGGTTAGTGAAAGACTTCTTGATTGTGGGATGTCTATGATGTTCTCTTGAGATGGACTTAATATTTGCTTCAGTTGGTACTTGGTATACCTCGCATACCTGCCTTTAAGGTGGATTCTGATCTTTACTCTTAACTCACATTTAGATAATAGTTTTTGACATGGATTAAATCAGTGGCTGGCAATATCCATGCTTATTTTTCCCAACATATTAACTGTATTTGACCCTGTATTTGATCCTTCTTTATTTTGATATGTGATGAGGAATTGTCAAGGGATTAGAGGTGGCTGGGCAAACATGTAATTCCCGTTACTAAGGCAGAACCTTAATGAAGTCTGGAAGTTATTTTCAATCAGCTACAGTGAATATTTGCATGAGACATGCTTTTTTGTGTGATGATAATCCTATATATCATGCATTTTGGTTTACACATTCATCATTTAAGCACTGAAAACTACGTCGATTATGTGGTTGCTTGTGTTGAAGTTGTGTTAAATACAGTGCGTGTGTGCATTTTACTCTCCCGATATACATTGGCAGCTGTATCTTGGATCAACCTGCTTTCAGGTTTCACTTTTTTTTTTTCCCAATTTGGTGACAGGTTTCACTTCAACAAAGACTTTTGGTTGTTCAGTGGTCCGGAGACAACCCTAACAGCCTAGCTGGTATGAAGATTTTCACAAGAAATTGTGTTGATAATGATTTTGCCATAAAATTTTTGTTTGACACTCTTTTACCTTGATCGATTGGGGTTGTGCAATAAATAGTGTTATCAGGCTACTAGTCATCCGCATACTAGGTTGTCTTATTTTGCTGCACCTATGCTGTATTGAATTCTTTCCTGCTACTTCCGAACATGGAAACAGTAGCATTTTAGTTTGTTACCAAATTTGTGCAGCTTGGTTTGTTGTATTGTCTGAAGATATACACTCAGTAAGTTAATGACCTTCAAAATGTCATCACATTTGACATGTTTATCTCACAGCAAGTGAGGCAACCACAAGCCAAGCTCGTTCAACCAGTTTGTCTTACAAGTTACAGTCCATCGTATGTGTTTGATGTGGGTACATTCCTGCTGTGAGTGCCTGGATTTCTGAAAAGAAAAGTTTCACCTCGCAATGCTCGTACATTGTTTTAGTTTCTTGACAAATTCAGAAGACGTCCCTTCTGCTTTTTCCCTTATCCCGATGGTGATCTTGGCATGCAGAACTATCCTAACTATCATATTTGATTCTTGTCTTGGATAGTTGGATGCATACTTACTAAAGACATTTTGAACCTGCAGGGTTGACCCTCAACACTCCTGGAGACTTGGCAATTAGCCTTGGCACAAGTGATACTGTAAGTTAAAAGATCCTAAAATTTTTGATGGTCTTTATATTATCATGGCTGTGTCCCTAATATGGGTATTGTATGGTCCATCTATGAGTTTGATGAGCCTATGCACCTCACAAATTCTAATCAAATTTTGTTACCCAATTTTCCTTGCACCATTCAAACGAAGAGCTTTTTTTGGAAGGTACCCACGAAGTGGTTTGACTGTTGCTTGGCCTCATTTTTCCTCAAATTGATTGTTAGGCAAGTGAAAAACAAGCTATGCTCATACCAGCCTTATTCAGGAGAATATAACTTATGTTGCTACTATTCCGTGTTATAAGTGCTGTTTACATTTCGTATCGCATTCCACGAATCCTGAATTTGGTGAGCATAGACCCAACTCTTCTCTCTCCTACTAAACAGTTTACAAATCACGAGAAAAGCATCAACATCTATTATCATCCCCCCCCCCCAAAAAAAAAAGAAACAAACAATAGCAGAAAGGAAGAAGCTGTATACAGATGTTACAGTTATATCCCCACAAGTATCGGTTTTTGCTCAGCTTAATCTATTTACGTAACTTGAACTATGATTCCTGGAAATTAACTCACTGTTATTGTTCAGGTGTTTGGGATAACCACTGACCATAAACCCAGCTTGGAAGGGCATGTTTTTCCAAACCCTGTCGATATAAAAGGCTACATGGTAATGTTGGTCTACAAGAATGGGTCTCTGACTCGCGAAGGTACATTGCCTATATATGAATTTTTTTGTTATGGATTTCGTCAGAGCAATATTTGAAAGTTCTTGCCATTGACATTGTAACCATAACGTTGATAGATGTTCGAAATTGTTTCGCGGATAAATCTTGGGATGTTTTGAATACATTTCTGCAGCAAACTCCACCTCTAAATGGTAAGCTTTTATATTCAATGATTTACATTTGTGTATTAGTTGTCCACTGTTTTATATTTTCTCATACTCTGTTACAGGTGGGAAGTGGGTTTTTACTACAAGGAGCATGAAATACTTCCTCCGCTCCCAGGTGAATCATTGGGTCTTAATTCCATAGCATTTTGGTAGTTGTCTACCGACGCTTATTATTTTTCATCCTCCCCTTTGTACGTACCACCGCTGTGAAAAACATATAGGGGTCTCACTTCCAATTTTAGTTTTGCACTTAAAAGAGAGAATGTATTAAAAAGGGTCTTCTTGATCCATGAAATACACCAATAGTGGATTTCGAGACTACCTGGATAGTACTTTCAGTTACTACTACCTCTGATGCAAAACACCTACTTACGGAACATCCATGGAACAGTGGGATTCCTTCGTTTGGTCAATTGGTACTTTCTGATATGTTCACCTTTGTTATGCACGTCCAGCTGGTTTCCACCGTTATATCCTTGAGAATTTCAAGGGAGACTGTTTAGACGATCTCAGTGAACGTGAAGTGGAAGAATTTGGTCCTCCTTCTGAGGTTAGTTGTCATGTTCAAAGAGTTCAAATGCATGAGCTTATGAGTTCCTGTGCGAAGATTATTTTGTTGAGAGTAAGAAATTTGCCTGCAGATTCGAGCATTGGTTGAGGGTCAATTACTTTCTATGCGAGCTCATGCTGAAAGATTTGGAATGCCTTCTCCTCCAAAGCGGATTATAGCTACTGGTGGAGCGTCAGCAAATCATTGCATTATAAGCTCAATTGCTTCCATCTTTGGGTGTAATGTGTATACAGTTCAAAGACCCGGTTAGTAGTCATGTCTTGTTATTACAATCAAAACATTTTATGCTTATAATTGAACACAGTCTGGTCTGTCTATCGCCATCTTGTCCCGATTCAAAATCTTAAATACCCATTAATATATGATGAGAGAGAACATCAATAAGGTCAATTATTAGTCTGCAATCTGTATTACCGATGTTGTAACTGAGAAAGCTATCAAAATACATTTTTCATCGACAATTTGTCTTGCTTTAAAATCCTTTGCTCGCAGACTCGGCTTCCCTTGGGGCGGCATTGCGGGCTGCTCACGGTTGGTTGTGCAACAAAAAGGGTAGTTTTGTGCCGATCTCACGTATGTACATGGACAAGCTGGATAAGACATCTCTTGGCTGCAAGCTTGCGGTGTATGCCGGAGACCAAGAACTTGTCGCCAAATATGCTTTGCTCATGAAGAAGAGAATGGAAATTGAGAACCGTCTTGTCCAAAAGCGGGGACGTTGGTAGAGTTTGGAATGCAAGTTATTAAGTTGAAAAAGTTTTTTGACGTTTCAATAGAGAGAGATCTGTAAATTATTATCACAGATTGGGACAGTTGTTCGAGTACATTGATTTGTTTCCAAATAATTCCTTACCAAGTTTAGTCACTTTTATTATGAATGTGCAAGGTCTTGAGTAAAAATATTTGCATGTCGTTTTGGGGAGAAATGTTTGCATGCCCTTAAGAACACCATTGTAACAGCAAAGCATCAATAACCAGCATATATTGTACTTAGAAATATGCAAACAAGTGCAAAACAAACAAATATAGAGCACACATGCTCATGGTGGCAGAGTACATGAAGGAAACAAAGATAAGGAAATGAGCACACCCTCAAATCAATACTCCTCTCCATCATCGCCATCTTCGCCCTCAGCAGACTCAGCACCAACCTCCTCGTAGTCTTTCTCCAGAGCAGCAAGGTCCTCACGAGCTTCACTGAATTCACCTTCCTCCATACCTTCACCTACATACCAGTGCACAAAGGCACGCTTAGCATACATGAGATCAAACTTGTGGTCAATGCGGGAGAACACCTCAGCAACACTGGTCGAGTTGGAAATCATGCACACAGCCCTTTGCACCTTTGCAAGGTCACCTCCAGGAACAACAGTTGGAGGCTGATAGTTGATACCACACTTGAATCCAGTTGGGCACCAGTCGACAAACTGGATAGTGCGTTTGGTTTTGATGGTGGCCACAGCTGCATTTACATCCTTTGGCACAACATCACCGCGGAACATCAAGCAGCAAGCCATGTACTTGCCATGGCGTGGGTCACACTTGGCCATCATGGATGAGGGTTCAAAAGCACTATTGGTGATCTCTGCCACAGAAAGTTGCTCATGATAGGCCTTCTCAGTTGAAATGACAGGAGCATATGAGGAAAGCATGAAATGGATCCTGGGATAGGGCACAAGGTTGGTCTGGAATTCAGTCACATCGACGTTCAAGGCTCCATCAAACCTCAAAGAAGCAGTAAGTGAAGAAATCACCTGCACCAAAGATGGCACAAATAGACATCATCAGTTATGGTTTTCAAAGCAAATTTAAAACACAAGGAAATTTCTGATATTAGTTTTTTTTATTCACCTGGGAGATAAGGCGGTTGAGATTGGTGTAAGTGGGGCGCTCAATGTCAAGGGAACGCCGGCAGATGTCATAAATGGCCTCATTGTCAAGAAGCACAGAAACATCAGTATGCTCAAGAAGGGAATGCGTTGAAAGTACACTGTTGTAGGGCTCCACAACAGATGTGGAGACCTGTGGTGAGGGGTAAATGGTGAAACCAAGCTTTGATTTCTTGCCATAGTCAACAGAAAGACGCTCCAACAAAAGTGATCCAAGCCCGGAACCAGTGCCACCACCAACAGCACTGAAAACCAGAAAACCTTGAAGACCAGTACAGTTGTCTGCAAGCTTCCGGATGCGGTCCAAGCACAGATCAACAATTTCTTTTCCGACTATAATGGAACACCATTGCATATAACACATCAGCATTCAGCTCAATTGAATGAATCAAATAATTAGTGCGAGAGTAGAATGCTATTAACTGGTGTAGTGGCCACGGGCAAAGTTGTTGGCAGCATCTTCCTTGCCGCTAATGAGTTGCTCAGGGTGGAAGAGCTGGCGGTATGTTCCAGTTCTCACTTCATCAATTACAGTGGGCTCAAGGTCTACAAAAATAGCACGAGGGACGTGCTTGCCAGCTCCAGTTTCGCTAAAAAAGGTGTTGAATGCATCATCACCTCCACCAACTGTTTTGTCACTTGGCATCTGGCCATCAGGCTGAAACCAAAGGCCAAAAAACAGAAGCATTACACAAAAACTATTCTCACAGATTATGACTATATTCTGTTTCAAATTATTAGTACAACTCAAGTAAAACTAAATCAAGACCAAGAGAAGAACACAAAAAAAAAAAGGAGAGATCAGAATGAATAATCCTTATGACAAATTAAGCTGTAAAACTATACCACAATTTGACAAACAATAACGTCAAATTTTTATCATATTCAATACAAATTATACCAGTCCACATGAAAGCTTTAATTTCGCACTCAAAACAGATTCCACATATCATGTACAGAATATGGGAAGATAATTATATGAAAAAGGCCATAGACCAGGTATAAAATTAGATCCATAGGGTCCAGTATGAGACATTATAGTTTATTCTTATATATCTCTACGGAATAAATCTAGACATCGACAATGAACATCAGCAAGTACCATGTATAATAACATTGCCAAAAGTTGTTCTTCTGAATACAAGGATGTAGAGCATGATGAAGGACGCTAATGGAAAAATCGCGAAATATATATGCATTTCTGAAAAATTAGTCGCTGAATCTCATTCATAATCTTCTTGAAACCCTAACTCTGCAACGAAGTTTCACAAATGCACAACTATATCAACAAAATTGACACATACCTGAGATGATAGCCTTAAAGAAAAACTAAATTCAAAGAAAAATATGCAAATTAAATAATGCACGCAGCTTCTTTGCGATTCCACAACGCAAAAGCATGACGAATATAGATCGAGAAACAAACAACATTTTTTTAGAAAATAAGCAACGAGATCCAGCTTTTTCAAACAACGTTCAAAGATGTACATACCAAATAAATTACCGGATAAGATGTATAATTACACCAGATCATCAACAATTAAAACCATACACGTAGTAGCTCCTATCTTCATTGGACAACAAGGAACCAAAAAATACATCGAAGAACAAGAGAGATAAAGAAAGACGAAAAGAGGTCTGACCTGAATGCCATGCTCAAGGCAGTAAAGTTCCCAGCACGCATTGCCGACCTGAATACCAGCCTGGCCTATGTGAACCGAAATGCACTCTCTCATTCTCACAAAATTGAATGAACTGAAATTCAATGACAAACAATCAAACAACCCTAGAGATCTTAAAAGAAAGCTAAAGAGAGATATGGACGGCGTTTATCAAGACGCCTTCCCAAGGATAAGTTTCAGATCTCTCCTTCCGACAAAATGTTTCGGATCGCTCTTTCTGTCTATCCTAGGGGGATTTTATAGGAAGAAGACGAATATTTAGGGTAAATTGACCATGGTTAACTAACCGTGGTTTAGGGTTGGTTGCAAAACTTGCCAGCGACGTGATACGATGACGATTATTTGGCCAGCCTGGCCGGCATGGTTACTTGCTGTATTCTAAATTTCTAACCGTTATTAATAATTGCGCGCTCGATTTTGATTTTTGAGTTTCTTGGGAGAATAGGTTTGATCCGAGAGAAAATTACATAAAATGCCATCAAGCTTAAAGGTTATATATTTCTTTGGCGAAGGGTAAAAAGTGCATTGCAGATGTGTGAAAGATATTTTTCGGGAGTGGGTTAGACGTAATTTTCCATTCAGCCCCACTGTAATTGTCTGCTAATGCGACACAGCATTGTGAAGTTACCGATTAGCCTAATCACCACCTTTAGAGAAAATTACACTTTACCCCCAAACTATTATCTTTATTTTATTTTATACTATCAATTATAAAAAAATTTACATTATACTCTAAAATATCAATGTTGTTACCCCCAAACAGCATTAAGCCAAGTGTCTAGAACCACTTTATTTTACCTATTTTGTAACTAAACGATTGCTAAGACGAAAAAGAAGGTCCGTCAAAGGAAAATTTGGAATTTAGGAATGACAAAATCATGGATGATATTTTTTTTTTTATTTTTAACATGCACATGTGTAATACCAATGAGCCTTTAGTCTAATGGTACTCCTTATTTTGTGAAAACTTAATTTTGTTGAAGTCAATGGTTCAAGTCCCCTCCCATTCCCCCTCTCCAAAAAAATAAAATAATAAATACATGTGTAATTTACTGTTAAAAAATTGACATTCATTATTATCTATTGAAATGATATGAAATAAAATTAATATTTTAAAGTATAATATGAAAATTTGTATAATTGATGGTATAAAAAAAATAAAAATAATAGTTCAAGAGGGTAAAATATAATTTACCCCCACCTTTACAGCCACTTTTGTTAAGTGAATTTGAAGTTATTTATCTTCCTTCTCTGTAATAGAATTTAATAAAAAAAAATACAGCAATTTTATACTGACGGTCCCTTACTCATTATCTGTTACAAGGAAAAAAAAACAAAAAATCAAATACAAAATATATTTAAGAGAATCATAATCCCTTTTTTTGACGACTTGCCCAAAAGAAAGAAATGTTTCCGACAAGCGTCAACTTAAAGATGTGCCGGCCCCATCCAATGGCCCTATAAGGTGGACCCACCTCTACTAATTCGATCTAATTTTGGAGCCACTATGGGCACCAAATTAGTTTGGGCTGGGTCAGGTAACAGTGTCAATTTTTTGTTTAACTAAACAATTGACTGGTGCAATAGATTGATTAGTGTAACTATTTTTAGAACACATGAATAATTATTTAATATATTATGATTAATTGGTGTCTCATAATTAGTGTAACTATCTGGTCAAACTGTCTTTAGAACATATAAATAAATTATTGGTACACCATAGGGCAATTGTAATTGGTTTAGGACATATAATTTCAATAACCGTTTAGTGTAACTTTTTCAAACCGCATGAATAACTATTTGTTATAATTGATTGGTCTAACAATTTTCAAAAAACATAAATAAATTATTGGTGTATTATAAAACAATTGTAACTGGTTGATGTCGTATATAATCAGTAACTGTTTAATATAATTGTTTTTAGATCATAATTCTTTTATCTTTAATGAGTNTGGTTTAGGACATATAATTTCAATAACCGTTTAGTGTAACTTTTTCAAACCGCATGAATAACTATTTGTTATAATTGATTGGTCTAACAATTTTCAAAAAACATAAATAAATTATTGGTGTATTATAAAACAATTGTAACTGGTTGATGTCGTATATAATCAGTAACTGTTTAATATAATTGTTTTTAGATCATAATTCTTT